AGAGAGAGAGAGAGAGAGAGAGAGAGAGAGAGAGAGAGAGAGAGAGAGAATATCATTGCCCTCACCCCTGGAGAGAAAGTGCTGGAGCTGGGATGGACTCCAGAACAAGGGCTTTCTCTGGAAGCCATGCGTTTCAGAGGGGCCCGGTGAAGTGGGAGGCAGGATGGCGGTAGAGAAGCAGAGAGGCAGAGCAGAGACGTACCCATGCAGGCTGCTGGCCCTTCCCCAGCTGAGAGTACTCACGGCTGTCCAGAGCTGGGAGAGTTGCTTGTGTTGATCACAAATCCATGGGAAGTCCCTGGAGGTTCCTCAGCCTGAGAACACAGGAGGAAGACTGGTCAGAGCCCCTGGAGGGAGATAGCCCCACTCACTTAAGCTCTCCAGGAGGGGGCAGAGTAGCCCCACTCACTTAAGCTCTCCAGGAGGGGGCAGAGTAGCCCCGCCACTCACAGAAAGCCCTCCAGGAGGGGGCAGAGTAGCCCGGCCACTCACTGAAGCTCTCCAGGAGGGGGCAGAGTAGCCCCGCCACTCACAGAGAACTCTCCTGGAGGGGGCAGAGTTAACCCCGCCACTCACAGAGAGCTCTCCAGGAGCGGGCAGAGTAGCTCTCCCGCGGCAGCTTTCCAAATGAATGGGAACTGATGGGCTTTCCAGGTGCAAGGAGGAGCGAGGGCTGGCTCCGAGTCCCCAAACTGCCATGCGGGAACTTTAAAGCCTGGAACAAGTGATTTGATCTCTCTAAGCTTTAATATCTTCTGTAAATGGAGATTGCAACACTTAAATCTTTGGCCTCAAATTTACTATGTGTCGGGGATGACCTTGAACATGACCTTTTGATCCTCCTCCCAAATGTGATTACAGGTATGCATCACCATGTCTGGTGTCTGAGGTAACGGGGATCAAACCCCAGGCTTCATGCATACTAAATAAGCACTTTATCCACCAAACCCCATGGCCTCCAACTCTCTATACCACCTTGCCTCAGCCTCCCAAGTGCTAGGATTACAGGCACCTGTCACCATGTCCAGCTGTGACATTTAACTTCTTAGAGTTGCTGTGAGGGATGATGCTGTAAACACCTGTGAGGCGAGAGCTTGGCATGAGAGGCCTCGGTCTAGATGAGCCATCCTGATCACTTACATATCTTCTAGAATAGCTTTACCTCTAATGTCTAAGAGCCCATGCTCCCTTTAATAGGTCACATTTGTCCAGTAGGTAGGAGCAACCCTAGGCCCAACTTCCACACCCCAAGGTTCTAGAGTTTCCTGTCTGTGTACCTTTTGCTTCTGCAAACGATCCCAGGCTTCCTTTCTTTGAAAGGGAGAGACTGGACCATTCCTCCTTGCTTTTGTAGCATTTTTTTCTCCTCCCTCACCTACGTCCTTAGAAATATCACCACTGAGAAAAGCTGAGGTCTAAATTGTGAATGGTCCCTTCTCTGTGCTTTCCTCTCGTCGGGGCTTGGGAGTGGGTAGAAAACGCTTAAAAGCTGTCTTACCTGCTGACTCTGGAGGGCTTCCTGGATCACACACCTAGCCCTGGAAAACCCAGAAGACGGGGAGTAACTGTCTATCTGCTCTGCACGGGTCACCACATTTACCAACAAGCACTAGTTGCTTTATGTTGACCCAGTGATTTAACTTAGCTGCCCCTGCAGTGGGCTTAAAGAGCTCAGTTATTTAGTTGGAGAGTTCAAGGCTTAGAGTGTGGGGAGGAAGGACCCTAGCTCAGAACTCCAGTTTGTTAGTTCCTGGTGCTTCTGATGGCAGCCGGAAGGTCTCTCCCATTTCTGACTGTTCTCCCAAACGAAAGGCAGCTGCCTAGCCAGGAGGGACTTCATCTTGATTTGAGCCAAGTTGTTTGTCACCCGAGTTCTAGGAAAGCCAGAGCTCTTCTTAAGTGACTCGTGTACTAGAGGGAATGCTCTCTGACCCTGTTACTGGAACTCAGGAACTAGGAAGAACTTCAGAGAGCCACACAGTATGTCTAGGAGTTCAAGCTCTGCCTGAGATGATCTCATAGAAATGCCAGTGTTCCCACACAGGTTCATTACCAGAGGGTTGGAAGCAGTGGAATGCATTTTTATCTTCATGGTCAAGTTTTACTTTCTCAACATTCCTAGAAGGTAGAGCTAATTTTCCCTATCTGTTTTCGTTGAAGCAACTAGAATTCAGACACAGGAAGACCCAGTCAGCAAAGGAGTGTAGTTTAGTGTTAGCCTGGTGGGTGGCAGAATGTGTGGGTTCAATCCCCAGTAGCTCCTCCTACACTGGGAAATAAAAGCAAAGCCTGGGACTGGGGAAATGGCTCAGTGAGTAAAGCCCTTGCTGAGCAAGCATGAAGACCTAAGTGCATATCCCCAGAACTGACATAAAAGCAGGTGCACATCCTGTAACCCCAACAACGTGGGCAGACATAGCAAACAGATCCCTGGGGTTTGCTGGCCAGTCACTCTAGACAAATGGAAGCTCTAGGCTCTCAAAAACTAAGGTGGGGCCCTGGTTTGACCCCCTGCCCCCATAAACCAAGTCAGGTGGCAAACGCCTGTAACCCCAGTCCTGGAGTGACGCAAGCAAAAAGAGTGTGAATTCAAGGTCATCCCCTCCTACAGAGAGTTTGAGGCCAGCCTGGTAGGCATTGGACCCTGTATCAAGCAAGCAAAAACATCGGGCCATCAGACGGCTCAGGAGACAACCAGCAAGAGTCTGTTCTGGTCTTTCATCTTTAGGGTTCCAGGGATTTGCCTGAGGTTGTTGGGCTCCATGGCATATGTACCAGCTGAGACCACCTCAGTCACCCACTTTCTTTCCTTTTTTTTTTTTGGTTTCTTAAGACATTTGAGATAGGGATTCTCTGTGTAGACTTGGCTGTCCTGCAACTCACTTTGTAGACCAGGCTGGCCTCAAACTCAGAGATCTGCCTGCCTCTGCCTCCTGAGTGCTGGGATTAGAGGCTATACCACCACCTCTCAGCAGTAGCCCATTTTCTTATTTCTTAAAAAAAAAAAAAAAACTCCAACTGTCACTGTTACAATTTATGAGTTTCTCTAGTGGCTTACTACAGTGTAATACATACATTTACATTCTGCACATACATAATTTCCTTAGACACCTCCTATTATAACTTTTGGTTAAATTGATATTAAAAGTGTGCAAGATATGATTTAAAAATGCAGTTGACAGCTAAAACGCACAATGTGCTTAAGAGGACATCTTCCTTTAATGAGAAGTTTTTTTTTTTTTTTTGATAGTAAAACTAACACATGCTGCATCTATTAACAGAATGAGAGTGACCACACCTGGCTCTCACATGCTGGCCTTTCCACTTTTTCCTGACGTGATACTCACAGTCTTATTGAATTGTTTTATTGAAATATAGCACCTCAGGAAAGAGCAAAGAACACATGCCTGTAATCTTAGCACTTGGTGGGATGAGGCAGAAGGATTGTTTGAGGCCATCCTGGGCTACATGAGACCCGGTCTCAAAAAAGCAAACAGTTCAAAACCCAAATAAAAACAATAACAAAACTGTTTTCCTCGGGATTAGGCCTCCCTAGCTATTAAAATTGTAATCAAAGGAGCTAAAGATAAAATAGAAGGAACGTGGAAAGCAGAACAAAAAGAGATAACATGGAAACAGATGAAAGAGAACAAGAGCTTCAGTGTCTAATGCAGAAGAGCCTCTGTCCCAGTGCAGTGGACAGCCTAGCGAGGGACATTAAGACTCACCCATGGGGTCTGGAGAAATGGTTCAGAGGTTAAGAGCACTTGCTGCTCTTGCAGAGGACTCGCTTTGGTTCCTAGCACTTACATTCACAGCTTACTCTAGCTCCAGGGGATCTGGCTCCCTCTTCTGGCCTCCACAGGTACCAGACATGCACACAGTGCACATACATGCATTCAGGGAAAACACCCATACACATAAAATAAAAATAAGCAATCTAAAAAGGGAAGGGGACAACTCATCTATGGATGGTCCGAAGACCAGAGAGATGGTGGTCCCAGGGACTGGCCCAGACACTCAACTTTTCTCCTAGATTCTGGTCTAATCCATCCCTCTCCTTCTTCCAATCCATCCTGCACAGTGCCTGCAGGACTATCTAAATCTGATTGTGCCCATCTACTCGGCTTTCCAAAGGCACTGCTAATTCCCATCCAGACTCTTCTACATCAGAGGTCATCAGAAGCGCATCCAGGCCCCATATCCCCAAACCCTCCCTCTGATGTGGAGCGCCGACCCCCATCTCCACCTGGAATAATCTCAGCCTCCTCTGATGTAACTACTGCCAGTGTCTCTCAAGGCATGCTACTCTGCCTGATGCCGTACTCCATTTCTCCTTCTTGCGGGCAGCACTGGAGTTGGGATTGTGGTTTGGGTTTTTTTTTTTTTTTTTAAGTGTCTGTCAGTTCTCAGGGATCTGGTGTGGAGGTTGGCACTTCGCAAGCATAAGTGTATCTACTAGGCATGTGTTCTTTGCAAGACAGCCTGTAAGCTGGGCGTGGTGCACATGCCTGTAATCCCAGTATTTGAGAAGTGGAGGCAGGAGGATCAGGAGTTCAAGGATAATCTGAGTCAAATGAAACCCTGTCCAAAAAACAAAACAAAACAAAACAAAAACCAACTGTGGTGGTTCGAATAGAAATAACTCCCATAACTCAAGTATCTGAATGCTTGGCCGTAGGGACTGGCATTATTAGGAGGTGTGGCCTTGCTGGAGGTGGGTGTGTCACTGTGGAGGCAGGCTTTGAGTTCTGATATATGCTCAAGATACACCCAGTGTGGACACAGTCTCCTTCTGCTGCCTGCCGATCAAGACGTAGAGCTCCCAGCTACTTCTCCAGCACCATGTCTGCCTGCACGCTGCCATGTCCCACCATGATGACAATGGACTAAACCTCTGAAACTATAAACCAGCCCCAATTAAATGTTTTCCTCTATAAGAGTTGCCATGATCATGGTGTCTTCACAGCAATATAACCCTAACTAAGACACCAAACAAACAATGTTAGATTTTCCATAAGGAACCACTGCTCATCCATTAAAGAACCTGTGGTTTTGTAAAAGGGCCTTAGACCTTAGCAAAACTGACTCCATAGTGGAATTACCAATCAAGCTGTAAAACCCAGCATGTAGATAGCATCACTTGCCAAAACTAAAACAAAAGCCTAATCCATGAACGTCCATAGTTAGGGGAAAGTCTCTAAATGGACTAACCTTACTCTTTGGCTTCTGTAGTTCTGTTTCTGGCTAACTGTTCTTAGTAACTGAAGTATGTCAATCCAGGACATGTTTTTTTGTGCTTAAAAGCTCACCCTGAGAAAGGCTCAGTGCTACATTGGGACCCTGAACACCCAGTGTAGTCACCAGCCAGCTAATAAAGTGGCTTAAACCCATGTCTGAGTAGTCTTCTCTGGTGAATACCCCACAACAGTTTGGAAGCAGATGGTGGGCTTTGAGGTCTCTTTTGCTCAAGTATCCCTCAGTGTGACTGTCAGTTGACTTCCTGTAGCCTTCTGGGCAAGATGTCGCCAGCACCACCTCTGCCTGCACACTGCCATGCTCCCTGTCATCATGATGATGGACTGAACCTCTGAAGCTGTAAGTGAGCCCTCATTTACACGTTTTCCTTATAAGAGTTGCCATGGTCACCAGGTGGTGGTGGTGCACACCTTTAATCCCAGCACTTGGGAGGAGGAAACAGGAAATGAGATGGATGGATGGAGAGAGGAAGTGATAAGGTAGGGTGGAGACAGGAGCTCGGCCCTTTCAGTCTGAGGATTCCTATAAGAAGTCTTTCTAGTGGCTGGCTGCTCTGCTTCTCTGATCTTTCAGCTTTCACCCTGATATCTGACTCTCAGTTTTTATGATTAAGACCAGTTAGAATTCATGCTACACCTAGCAAAGACATGTTCCAAGACTGGTTTATCTACATACTTTCCCCTTCCATTTCCTGGCCTCACGTAGAAGTAGCTTAAGAATGGAACACCTGGGCTATAGAGATGGCTTGTTGCTCTTGCAGAGGACCTGGATGCAATCCCCAGCATCCACGAGGAGGCTCACAAATATTCATAACTACAATTCAAGGGAATCTGACTGACCCCCTTCTCCTGACCTCCGCCAGCACCAGGCACACATGTGGTGCACAGACATACATGTAGGCAAAACATTCACACACATAAAATGAAGTAAGTAAATCTAAAAAAGAAAAGAAAAAAAAAAAAGAACAGAACACCTGCCAATCCCCAAGGGAGAGAAACTGCCAGCATAGAAGAACACTGAACAGAGAAATAATGAAGTTCCCAAGCAAGCTGACAGCATCATCTAAACATCTGGATCGAGATGTACAGATTCTCCACTGGAGAAAGCATTCCACTTCTGCTCAAACAAATGCAAATTGAGTTTCTGTGATAACCAGGAGTTCTGGTTTTAATAGTGGATTCTGGTGGGTGCACCGAGCATCTGGGTTCTGGTCATGCTATTTCTCCATGTGGGAGCTAAATATATTAATGTATCAATGACAATTCATCAGTCCAGGGTGGTGGTGCACACCTGTAATCCCAGCACTTGGGAGGTAAAGGCAGGAAGGTCAGTTTAGTGCCAGCCTGGGTTCCACAGGTAGTTCCAGGCCTGCATGTGCTAAATGAGACCCTGTCTCAAACAAAACAAAACACCATCAGGCCAGCTTGGTAATACATGCCTGTAATCCCAGTATTGGGGAAGCAAAGGCAGGAGGATCACTAGAAGTCTGGAAACCATTTTGCCCTACATCTAGTTGAAAGTTTATCAGGGGTGGGGGGTGGGAGGGCGGAGAATGCATGTCTATCAGGATACTTTTTGATGTTTTTGTTTTGTTTGAGACAGGGTTTCTCTGTGTAGTTTTGTTGCCTGTCCTGGAATTAGCTCTGTAGACCAGGCTGACCTCGAATTCAGAGATCCACCTGTTTCTGCCTCCCGAGTGCTGGGATTAAAGGTGTGCGCCACCACTGGTCCGAAGGATAGTTTTTTTTTTTTTAAAGATTTATTATGTATACAGTGCTCTGCATGTATGCCTGCAGGCCAAAAGAGGGCGCCAGATCTCATTACAGATGGTTGGGAGTCACCATGTGGTTGCTGGGAATTGAACTCATGACCTCTGGAAAAACAGCCAGTGCTCTTAACTGCTGAGCCATCTCTCCAGCCCCCGAAGGATAGTTTTATATTCTGTGTTCTTTGCTCTTTCCTGAGGTGCTATATTTCAATAAAACAATTGAATAAGACTGTGAGTATCACGTCAGGAAAAAGTGGAAAGACCATGTAAGAGCCAGGTGCGGTCACTCATTCCTGTAATCTAGAGGCTGAGGTAAGAGTACTGCAAATTTGAAGCCAGCCTGGCTAAATGATGAGTTCCAGGGCAGCCTGGACTGTAGTACATGACATAAATAAATGTTTACTGGATTGAAATCAGACACCCCGTCATCCAAGTCTAAAAGGAATAATTAATTAGGCTCTTGCCCTGAATTTCTCTCTGTGATGTTCCTTAAAACACCCCTTACCATCTCATGGCCTGAGAGATACTGGGAGGGCTGTTTTCTGCCTGGTTTGGGGATGGTAAAGCTGAGATACAGGGCAAGGGATGTCTGCCATCACAGGCACTGAGCTGGAGCCCAGAAATTTCCAGCCAAGCTCTACTAGAGGGCTCCTCTTGTCATCAGCCTGTCCCAGCCCTGGCATGGAATCTGAGAGAGTGAAACATGACACTGGCAGGCTCAGATTTCTCTAGGTTTGGTGTCAGCTGGAGGCCATCTCTGCTCAGGAATCCCATCGGATTCTAGGTGAGGAAATCGGTAAATGTCACACCTCAAGGATGACCAGTGAAATAAAACTACCGTGATGGAGCATGTCCTTAGGGAGAAGGATGTATAAGAGAGGGAATGATGCCGGGCGCTCGCCTTTAATCCCAGCACTCGGGAGGCAAGAGCCAGGCGGATCTCTGTGAGTTCGAGGGCAGTCTGGTCTACAGAGCGAGATCCAGGAAAGGCGCAAAGCTACACAGAGAAACCCTGTCTTGAAAAACAAAAAAACAAACAACAACAACAACAACAAAAAAAAAAAAAAAAAAAAAAAAAAAAAAAAGAGGGACTGATGTTAAAAATGGACAAACATCAAAGGCAGCAACAGACAGGAGAAGACCTGCTACAAATAGCATTGAGAAAGCGACTTAGACCTAGGATTTTAAAGAGTTCCCCTGAGTGGGTAAAGGATTTAAGAAGATATATGCTCAATGTGCTCGCTTCGGCAGGACAGAGACTAAAATTGGAACGATACAGAGAAGATTAGCATGGCCCCTGCGCAAGGATGACACACAAATTCGTGAAGCGTTCCACGTTTAAGAGAGAGAGAGAGAGAGACTTTTTTTCCAGAGAAGATACACAAATGACTGACAAGTACATTCTTAATCACTAGGTAAATCACCCAGTAGGGCAGCTGCTGAGGAAAAAGAGCAGTGTTGGGGGGCGGGGGAGGGGGAGGAGGCTGGCACACGGGTAAAGGGCACTGGCTGCCAAGCCTGACGACCTGCGTTTGATCCCTGGGATCATATAATGGGAGAAGAGAAACAACTTCTAATCGTTGTGCTCTGACTGCCATGGTGCACATGTCTGGCCATAAATGTTTGTTTTTTGAAGGGGGCATGCTGGGCATGGTGGTGCTCTATGATCTGGAGGCCAACCTGGTTCACACACCTTGTTCTATGCTAGCCAAGGCTACATAGCGAGACTATGTCTCATAAATACAAAATTTTAAAAAGAAATAGTACAAGCTAGGCACGTGGTAGAGTGATTAAGAAGCATGTAGTACTAAGCCAGCTGGAGAGAGGGGAAAGAGGGAGGAGGGAGGGAGACAAGGAGGGAGAGAGGGAGAGAGAAAGGGAGGGAGGGAGAACTTTCAGGATTTTTTTTTTTTTTTTTTTTTTTTTTTTTGAGACAGGGTCTCATGTAACCAGGTTGGCCTAGAAACTTGCTGTGTAGCCAAGGCTAACTTTGAGCTCTTGGTCCATTTCCCTAGTTCTGATACTACAAGCATGAGCCAGGATTTTTAAAATTACAGGTGTTAGTGGAAATAAGAGAAGTCAGGACCCTCACCCAGTGCTGGCGAGAATAGAAAATGGCGCTGTGGAAAACCATCTGCTCGTCTGGCAGTTCCCCGAGGGCTAAACAGAGTCAGCAGCATGTGATGCAATAATTCCATACCAGGCTATAGACCCAATAATAGTGAAAACACATGGCCACTTAAAACTTGCACAGGAGTTTTCTTTTTTCTTTCTTCCTTTTTTTTCCCCCAGAGCTGAGGACTGAACCCAGGGTCTTGTACTTGCTAGGCAAGCGCTCTACCACTAGCTAAATCCCCAACCCCCTCCTTTTTTTTTTTTTTTTTTTTTTTTTGGTTTTTCAAGACAGAGTTTCTCTGTGTAGCTTTGTGCCTTTCCTGGATTTTGCTCTATAGACCAGGCTGGCCTCGAACTCACAAAGATCCACCTGATTCTGTCTCCCGAGTGCTGGGATTAAAGGCGTGAGCCACCACTGCCCGGTAGTTTTCATAACAGTGTTTGAAATAACTTATAATATCTATCAATTGATAAGCAAAATTATTATATATCTCACAATAGAAGAGTCTCTGCCAAGAGCCAAGGAGATGGTTCAGCAGGTAAAGGTACTTTCTGTGTACACCTGATAACCCAAGTTTGATCCCCAGGATAGAAGGATAGAAGTGTCTCCCCAAAATCATCCTCTGACTGCCATATGTGGTTTGTGGCATG